TGCTGTGCATAAATTCGCTATGGGTTGGTACCAACTCTATGGCACCTAACAACAACAACAATAACAATGGGTCATAAGGAGTTCTGGTGTGGTGCCATAGGATAAGCATTCAACCTCAAGCTCAGCAATTTAAACTCACCAGCTGCTCCTCAGAAACCATATATAGGGTCGCTATGAGTCGGAAAAGTTTCCACGGTACTTAACAACAACGAGCCATAAAGTTCAAACCCACCAGCTGCTCCATGGAAATCTTACACAGGGTTGCTAAGAGTTGAAACCAGCTTGATAGAACTTAACAAGAACAGGCAAATCTTGAAAATTTTCAAAGATTTCAAGTCATACCAAGTATGTCTTGTGACCACAATCTAAATAAATTAAAAACCAGTAATGGTACAACCATAACACGCAATAATATTTGGCAATTAAAAGACATGAAGTACTGAGAGTTTGGTCCTAGCCTCCTGCCATGACCACAGCAGCATGACTGGCCGCGAGTGTGGGCAGAGCTGGAGCAGCAGCTTGGTGCCCTGGCCATCCTGGCCATCCGCACTGAGGTCGTGGAGCATCCAGAGGTGTTTACAGTTGAAGAAATGATGGCTCATATTCAACAGTTTAAAGGGGCACATAGTAAAAAAATATTTCTTATAGACAAAAAGAAAAACGACTATTGGCTGGTAACAGTTATTCGTGATAGACAAGTTAATTTAAATAATCTTGCCAAACAGTTGGGTGTTGGAAGTGGAAATCTGAGATTTGCCGATGAAACAGCCATGCTGGAAAAATTAAAAGCTGGCCAAGGGTGTGCTACACTGCTAGCGCTCTCCTATGATGACGGAGATGTGAAATTTGTTCTAGATTCTGTTTTTCAGGAAGGTAGACATGAAAAGGTGTATTTCCATCCAATGACCAATGCTCCAACCATGGGATTGAGCACTCAAGACCGTCTCACATTTGTGAAGAAGACAGGACATGATCCCTTAATTAAATTTTTATAAATACTGAGCTAATGTTTACTATAAATTGACTTCCGAAAAAAAAAAAAAAAAAGACATGAAGTACTGATATAGGCTACAACACAGAGGGGTCTCAAAAATGATGTTGTTGTTAAAGTGCTGTTGATTCATAGAGTCAATTCATAGTGACTCTGTAAGGGTTTTCAAGGTGCAGTTGGTGTGTTTGAACTGCCGACCTTGTGGTTGACAATCCAGTGCTTATCCTACAATAGCACAACAGGATTCTAATAGAAAGAAGCTAGTTACAAAAAAGAAGATATTTTATGATTATACTTATATGAAATTCCAGACTAGGCAAAACTACAGTAGAAGAATATAGCTTAGTGGTTGTTAAAGGCTGGGGAGGGGTAGTGACAAGGTTTCTTTTGGTGGGGGGGGGGTGATAAAATGTTCTAAAAAAAAGTGTAATGACAATTACAAAACATTGTGAATATATAAAAAATGATGAAATTGTACACTGTTGTTGCTGTGTTGTGCTGACAGAGTCAACTGTGACTCATAGTGAACCTCTAGGACAGAGAAGAACTGTTCCACAGCAATTCCTAGACTGCATTCTTTACAGGAGCAGATCATCAAGTCTTTTCTCCCACAGAGCCACAGGAGAATGTGAACCACTGACATCTGGGTTAGCAGCCAAGCTTTAAGAATTATATCACCAGGGCTCCTGAATTGTACACTAAATGGGTGAAATATATGGTATACAAATTGCATGTCAATAAAGCTGCTGAAATAAAAATAAGGAACAGCATCTAAAAAAATCTCCCAAGTGTTTTGAAACAAAATAATACACTTATAAAAATCCACAGATCAAAGAAATCAAAATGAAAATTACAATAAGAACACCCACACTTGCAGATAATACCCACTAGACCTGGCTTCAATGATTGTACGATCAGAGCTCAACTAGAGGAAGAAAGAAGAGTGAAAAAAGAGTAATCTGATACAATTTGATGAACTTGACCTACACTTATGGATGCAGTAGCTCAAAAGAGGGAACAAATCTTTATAGTGAGGATCATTCCCACCCCCTCCATATGCAGAGTAGACAGGGATGGGCAACTTAGACATTGGCTACCCAAAATAAGGGGGCTACAAAGGCAAGAAGTGACTGGCTTACAAGCTTTCAAGAGGGAGCCTAGATCCAGAGGGCACAGAAGACGGTAGAATCTCCAATGAATAGTATTCAATCTGTCTGGATGGGGCTGATGAAAGGAGATGCAGATGGGTCTCTTGTGATACAATAGTGAATAATTGTTATCAGGACTGATTGTGAGGGTTGGAAATGTAAAGGTAGACG